TTCCTGCTCTTTCGATTTCTTGCTGTGCAGAAGGAGATTGCACTAACAATGAGGTTTTGTAACAAAGACTATTTCTGTTTTGCAGGAATTCCAAATTGCCAAATTTGTAAAGAAAAGCAGGCTCCTGACGTTGGCTTGTTCTTCCTCCTGCATCTGATTTTGCTAAGTGATGCAAGTGGGAGCCCTGCATTCCCCAGAAAGGCAGGATGAAACCCAGATGCTCCAACTCCAGGAAACAGCAGGGTCCCCTCCCTGGCTGGGGAGGGGGAGGGTTGGGCAGTCTGCTTAGCTGACAGCTCACTTTCCCTTCCGAATACAACAGTATCATTTATATCTATTTCTGCCTGCTGCAATACCTCCTAGAAAACTAAAAGCTGAGCCTTCACATCATATTGAACTAAATTCGGTGTATTTCTTATCAATCCATTTCGGCAACCAAGGTATCAGCCATTGTTCAAATATTACACTTACGCCAACCAGCTGTTACAGGTAGTCAAAAGGATGTTGTTAAATGTTCCATTTGGGGAAGTATCTTTACCAACGGGCATTTTAAGAGAACTACAAAAGGCTTTTTTCAATAATTATGCATGATCTCTTGACAAAATTACTCAGCATAGCTTTATTTTCTAGGCAACAGCAGGTGAAATAAATGGAAGAGGCACACAGGACCTTGAGCCCTGCTGAAAAGGCACTCCTCAGGAGCAGGGAAGGGTGGTTCAGCCTTTCTCCGGTACAAGGGCGAGAGCAGGGCAGTCGTGGGCAGCGTGCTGCCAATGGGGACGAGGTTGGGGTGGCCATTGCAGAGGGGACCTGCAGTTGTGTGCACATGGAGAGGGGCTCAAGCACTCTGCTGCTGCTGCTTCCCCCCTTTGGATGCCAGAAAAGCAAGCTGCGGTGAAGCTCTGCGCCCAGGTTTTATGTTACAGGAAGGGATCTGATTACTGTAATTTGTGCACAGTTCACTTGCATAAACCTATTTCCTCAGGCTTTACGGAGGAGAAGTCAATGTCACCCAACTATGTGGAAGATAATCACCCTGTGCATAAACTCAGATGTCCAGGCAAGTCAACAGCACCACTGAGCTCTTACTGTGCATCTCCACAAAGCTCAAAAACAGAGCAAATGTCTACAACAGTCCCTTCCAGTTCTCCTCGAAGGAGTGCAAACCTACCCCTCCAAGTAACCGGTATGTCCCTGCAACACCTGTGTAGGTAGGGAATAACACCCAATTAAACAAATAAATATTAAAGCAATTTAGCTAATGAGTGAAGTACAGGAGAGAAGATGTGCACAAAGCACCAGAAAACAATCATGTTGGAGGCAGGGATACAGAGTCTGCTCAGCTCACCATCAGTTCTTAATCCTTTCCAGAGGAGCACAGACACAGCCGATGCCCATGCTGCAGTGGGACAGTAAACTCAGCCACTTGTTGATTCAGATCACCTGATAAACCATTGCATCTTGTAACAGCTTGCTAAGTTTCATTCATTGCAACAGTTTCGCTGTTGACACAGCTAAGAACTTGCAAATTTGCCCCTCTGATTGCTTGTGTCAATTGCTGTTTATCAGTGGAACACAGGTCTTTGCAATCCAACCCTGACTTCAGAGTAAATCACATCTGCTCTCAAAGAAGTTTCAACACTGACCTTGGGATCGTGATGCATGGTCTTCAGCCCAAAGTTCTGCTATTTTTATCATGAATATACCACGTGCATTGGCTTTATCTTTGCATTAAGGTATTTCTCTCTGCATGGGTTACATACAGGAATCCATTGTATTCCACTGGAGAACAAATATGCATCCTAGATGAAGTAGGAAGACTTCCTTATTCAGAAAAATAGCACTTTTGGCTTCAAAGAAAAACTGTACAAGCGTAAGTAATCTGGAGAGCAGCTACAGCTGGCATCACCCCCATTGTAAGGGCCAGATCCCTGCCCCAAGAAACACACAGTCCACAGATGCAATGAGTGACAAACAGAAAAACAATCCCGCTCATGACAGTAACATCCCAGTGGTGCCCACAGGAATGTTGCCAGGACAATACGACACGTGTTGAGCAACAGACACGACGTTTTGCATGGACTGTACCGCAGGAGCGTTACCTTCAGAGCATTTACCACTGAGTCAGACTGCTGAGAGGCTGAGCCATGTCCACTGACGCTAGCTGGCTCGTTTGCAGAGCAGTAACTCCCCTCCGCCCCTCCTGGCATCCTAATGGGATCCTTCGCAAAAAATTAAAAACTATTTAATAAAGGGTTGGTAACTAATTAAAACAGATGTCAATTATTTATTGTTCTTTTTAACAAGGCTGAGAAGCACTGAAGGCATGTTTTACTCCAAAGTCCCCCTCTTTCTGTGCCACAGTAACCCAGATCCATGTAAGGCAGCTCAAGTGCTACTGTCGACTGTCACCCGAACACTCTGGCCCTCAAGGGTGTCTATCTGGAAAATCAGGACATATTAATAACACCTCTTATGTATGTACATTGCCTCACAAAAGCGCTGCGAGGTTCAGAGTGACGATTTCAACTCCAGAGGAAGGTTTTGAGAATGTTTCGTTTTATCCCAATAGTTCCAGAGGTTGTTCCTTCAACAAAACTCACATTTTTTAGAAGTTGCTGCAAGGTTTGTAACACAAGCTCAGGCGAAGCTGACCAGGGAAGGAGCCAGGAGCTCCAGGCTGCCAGCTCACTCCTTCCCTGCCTCTGGCTGCTCCGGTGCAAGGGCACGTTCCCCTGCTTGCCTGCGAGGTGTCAATTTGTACTCACCGGCGACAACCTCAGGGGCTTTTTCCTCCCAGTGAACACCTGGAAGGGTTCTTCAGGGCACTGCCAAACTAATGCAAGCTCCCTAAACTCTTACAGCTCAGTCACCTCAGACTTTGCAGGATGCAGAGCATCTCCTGGAGCGATTGCAGTGCCGAGGTAACCTGAGCAAGCAGCCTGCTTCAGGGGAGTGCTAAAAATACCCCTGCTGCATTCATGGACGGCAGTGTGATAGCTGCAGCGATGGAGACAGCCCAAGTAGATGCCTCCAAAGTGCTATCAACCTGACTTGCTCTTCACTGTCATTCTCCGCAGAATTTTGTTTTTTAAAAAAAAGAGATAAATAGAAGAAAAATATTTCAAAGATTGAGAGATGAGAAGTTCACTTCTTACAGAGTAAGAAACACTGTGGGAAACATTAAGAAATAATGTAGCAGTAATTCCTG